CCTTGTACAAGTTTCACATGAACATAATTAAGTGCTCTGGAATTCTCATTCTTCCCAGTGTGAGGCACAATTTATTATGATTTACATAGCCTACTCTCTGGTTGTTGTTGTTGTTATGTGCCACTGAATTGCCTGCAAATATAAGTTGTTAAGTAGCTCTATGTACAACAGCTCTGAAGCCTGCCCTGTCACACCAGCCCCCATTACCCCAGTCATTGTGTCAATCCATCTCATCTGGGATCTTCCTCTCCTGCACTGTCTCTCTATCCTTCCATGCATGATGTCCTTCTCCAATGACTGGTCTCTCCTGGTCATGTGCCCAAAGTATGTGAGACAGAGCTTCAAAATCTTAGCCTCCAAAGAGAAACTTGGTTTCACCCTTTCCAAGACAGACCTATTGGTTTTCTTGGTGGTCTATAGTATGTTTAAGATTCTTCTCCAGCACCACAACTCAAAGGCATCAATTCTTCTGTCATCCTTAGTCATTGTCTAGCTTTCTGATGCATAGCAAGTAATTGCAAAGACCATGGCTTAGATCAGGTGCATCTTAGTCTGTAGACTGACAATGTTGCTTCTCAGTACTCTGGAGAGGTCATTGATTTTCTCCAATGCAATTAATCTTTTGATTTCTTGACTGCTGGTGTCAAGGGTGTTGATTGTGGAGCTAAGCTAGCTGTAATTGTTAACAGCCTCAATCTCTTGTCCATCTATCATGGTTCTGCCAATTGGCCCTGTGGTGAGAATCTTTGTCTTCTTGATGTTGAACTTAAATCCATATTGAAGACTGAAGACTTTGACCTTCTGCAGCAAGCACCTCAAGAGGCACATTATTCTTGCAAAGGAAGAGAGCCATAAAAGGAGAGGAAGACCCTCAACAAGATGTACTGATACAGTGACTACAACAATGGGCTTAAATGTGTCAGATAAGGATGGTGGAGGATAGGGTTCAGATCTGTTTTTCATGGTGTCTCTAAGAGTCATACTTGACTTGATGGTATATAACAATAACAACAACAAATAATTGCCTGGTAGTCTCTGTTTCAGCTAAGATCCACCCAACAACAGCAATGATAGCCCTCATTCCTGAGCCTTGAATGAATCCAAATTGAATTTCTAGCTTTTCCCTAGTACTGCCCCAGTCATTTAAAATAATCTTCATCAAGATTTTACTTTCATGTGATGTCAATGATACTGTTTGATAGTTTACACACTCTGTTGAGTTGCCTCTTTTCAGAATGGGTACAAATATGGATTTCTTCCGGTCAGTTAGCCAGCTGTCTCCCAATTTCTTGGCATAGATGAATGAGTATGTCCAGGGCTGCATTTGTTTGCTGATACACTTCAAGTGATATTCCATTAATTCCTGGAGCCCTATTTTTTGCTGATGCCTTAAGTGCAGTGTGAACTTATTCTTTCGGAATCATTAGTTCTTGATCATATACTATTTCTTGAAATGGTTAAGAACACTTCTAATTACTTCTGGTACAGTGACTCTATATATTCCTTCCATTTTTTTTAAGTTGGGTTTTTAAAAAACTTTCTACTAGTTTATTTACAAAATGAGAATACATGGTTTTCAAGAACAAATTCTTTCAATTTCGCTCACCCCCCACCTATCAAATTGTACAACCTGATGATTAATCCCCCCTTACACATCCTCATCCCTCTGCTTCCAGCCTCTCCTACAGCTCTTGTATCCTTATACTCATTCTAAAATAATGGTTTTATAAAATATTTATTCTTGTGGGACTGAGTTAGTTCACTCAGCATAATGCCCTCCAGTCCCTCCCAAGCTAGGTAATAATTTATAAAAATCATTGCTCCTGCGTGCTGCATAGTATTCCATTGTGTGAATGAATGTTCCATAATTTCTCAATCCATTCATTTGTGGTTGGACATTTGGGCTGTTTCCATGTCCTTGTGACGGTGAATAATGCTGCTATAAATATTGGTGTACAAATCTCAGTTTGTGCCTCAGTTCTCATTTTCTCAGAGTATATTCCAAGCAGTGAATAGCTGGTTCATATGTAATTTCTATGTTTGGATTTCTGAGAAAATGCCAAACTGCCTTCCAGAGTGGTTGCACCATTTTACAATCCCATCAACAATGTATAAGAGTTCCTTTCTTGCCACATCCTCTCCAACATTTATTACTTATTGCCCTGTTAAACTTTGCCACTGTTACTGGAGCAGTAATATTCATTATTTAATAATTTGCCCATAAAAATTTTCACTATGATAATTTGAGGCTTTGGTTTTTTTCTTCAGTTTTTTAGACTGATAAATGCCAAGTACATTCTTCCCTTTTGTCTAATACTACATCTTTATTTGTGCCACAATAATACTTTGCTTTGTCTTTTCAAGGTACTCTTTCAGAGTCCTACTTCATTTTGCTTTAACTTCTCTTTGTTCAAGAGCAAGATATAGGGTCTCCTCCAACATCCATTTTGATCCTTCTTTCCTGCCTCCTTGTCTTCCTTTCCTTTCCTTTTCTTTCCTTTCCTCTCCTCTCCTCTCCTTCCTTTCTTCCTGACTTTAAGAGGTATAAAGTCATATAAAAAAGATCCCAAATGCCCATTTGAGTTGGGTCTTGAATGTGTAGGATTTTGGTGTTGGGAGATACAGTATGGTGTGTACTGAGGGGAGTAGGAGTAAGAATAGGTGCAGGAGTAAGGACCACATGGTTGAGTGCAGGGAATGGTTGCTAGTCCATCTAGCTGGAACACGGGCTCCATAAGGGCTGGGAGGAAGAATAAATTGGAAGAGTAGCTTGAATCATGCAGTCAAATCTTTGCTTGCCCACCTTAGGCATTTATGTCTTATTCAGTTGAAATTGAGAATCTTTGAAAGTCTTTGGTATTAAATATGACTAATCTGCATTATGCTTTGGGAATTGAAATCAGGCGATCATGAGTGGAATAATTTGGAAACGATGTGAGTAGAAGCAGATGGATATATATCCTTTACACTCCACTCATCAGGACTTAACACCTTACTTTGTTCCAAAAAAGGGCCTCAAAAAGGGTCTTGTTCTTCTTTGATATTTTATGTATAGTTATTCTCCTTCTTCCAAGTCATTCCTGTCAATGGACGGAAAGGCGCTTTCCAGTTCCTACCCATAGTAGCAGGCAGATTCGAACCTCTGGAGAGACCTGGTCTTTGGATTAGCATCACAACTCCCTATTAACTACACCACCAGAGCTCCCTGTGGACTTCAATATGGAGTCACAATCACACACCAGCTCTTTTCCTTGGATGTGGTGCAGCCAGTGGCTTCTTTTTATTGTTCCAGCAAGAAGGGACTGCTGCACCATTCTAGAACATTCCAAATGTCCTCTTTTTTTCCATAGTCTTCAGCTCTCCAAGCACTAACACTAGCATGTATTTTAATTTCTTTTTTCAGGATGTTAAAGTCTATATTCTTTCAAGACTCTTCAAGTTTTCTAAGATGTGTGCATGTTTTCTAACAGCTGGAGGCTAAAGATGTGTCCATCAACCATTTCATGCTCTCCTCTAACATGACCATAAGTTGGTATGTGCAGCTGAATCAAATGACTGGTGATTCTTCAGCGGAAACGCCCTGACAACTCTTTTCTTATCAACCTTCTTGCTCATTCATCTGGTGTGGATCCTTCTTACACAAAATAAGTGGAAAAACTTGTTCGGGGAAAAATGCTTCTTGTGTTTCCAAACAAAATAGACCCTCCATAAGGGGATCATACGATAGGGACCAATGTAGAAATAGAAGATAAGATTCAGGGAGATTGGAAAGCTAGCAGCAGTCTTTCCATTCTACAGAGTCTTCTAGTCTTTAATCTGAGTGAGCTAAAACAAAACTCTTCCTAATGCACCTACAGCAGAACAGTATACTGGGAAGCTGCCGATATTCAGGTGAATAATAATGATTCTTACAGATCATAGATTGACAGCAGTGTGTTTCTAAGACAAGTAGTTCTCTCAAAAGATGTGAGTCAAAATGGAGCTGATATGAGGCAGTGAGATGAATTAAATCACCTCCCATCACAGCCAATGATGGGGGCAAAGGGGTAAGAATGGCTAAATCATCTGCTGGTCATCTCTACAGAGTCTATTCATTATCTGAACCTCATCAAAGCCTGCCTTATAGAGGCTGTGAGGAATCAGGAATCAGGTTTATAAGGGGTAGGGAGAAGTTGGAACTAGATATAAATGAAGTAGCTAAAATCCCATTCCTCCCCACCACAACTCTAGCTCGATGAAGGCTAAGAATAAAGGCTATTTTTCAGTTTTTAATGCCTGCAGATTTAAGTGTGCAAGCACCATCAGACATGAAGAGAGTATGAAGCACTCAAGATATCTACATTATGAAGCAATACAAAATCTATTCAGAAGGGCCAGTCCTATTCTTATTAAATATGTGAAGCAGCCTGAACCCATATCTGCCACATTCCTCAATAAACAGGAACAGTTGCCGTCCCTAGGGCATAAGTCGAAAAGCAGGAGATGAAAAGACTTGGGAGTCATTTCTTAGAGCTCATTGTATTTCACTTTGGCAGCAAACCAGATAACAACACAGGGAACAAACAGATAATAGACCTGGGTAAACTGGCATGAAACAGGTAGGATTGAGAGCTTCTCACTGCTCTGCTGCATGAGGTATGTCCTCTCTATCAAAGACAAGAAGGTGCTGTTAATGTTTGTCCATTTATGTCCTTCCAAGGGAACAGATGAAGTTGTAGATGTCTAATTGTTTTGGTCCTGCCCTTCCCAGAATCTGGATCCAGAATGATGTGAGAATGGGACAATGTCAAAGGGTATCTTGAACATAAGTAATTTTTCATCCCTTTTATCCAATATTACCCTAGTGTCTATTATAGGTAAATGTATATTAAGAATTTAGTCTTGGAAGCAAAAGTGGATGAGAATAAAAGTGTGCAAGGAAGTCATTTAAGGGAAGTAGACCCCAAAGCCTGAACACAAAAGGGAATTTTCAAGACAATGATGTTTTCAAATTTGCTTACCTTTGTTTAAGCGTCCCATCACAGTGAACTCAAAATACTTGCTGTTGTCAGGTGAAGAGTAAAGGCCAAAGATGGTGGCTGTGCTTTTAGACTGCAGTTTGAAGGTGGAGATTACATAGAGCTCGTTCAGGGTGGGGTCTGTCAGGATTGGCTGCAGAACGTGTGGATTCAGTCTTTGACTGGAGGTGGGTAGAAGGTCAAAGACTGGAAAACAAGAGAAACACATCATCAGTTAAAGAGTTAATTTTCTGGTAAATGCTTTTTGTGGGAGGGGCAATGAGACAATCGGCTAAATGGAAAGGAATATAAAAGGCAGGGAATGAAGTTTCCAGTTGTTTTTCCACATTGTCAAATCATCAGGAGTTTCTTACAGTGATTAGATATATAGGAGAAGCGTAATGCAATATTCACCATTTAGAAACACAAAATTGGCTGTGGCTAAAGAAAATACACAAAAGGGAAAGTACTGAGGGTTTGAAATACCGGAACACAGGTGAGAACATCTAAAGTCATTGTTTTCCTTGTGTCCACAACTAGTGAATTTTGCCTTTGGGTCCATTATACATATCTGGGACTAGAACTAATTGTATTTTCCTGTTAAATGATAAAGGAGGCAGGGACAGCTGCAGAAAGCAAGAATGTGGTGGGAGAGATATTTCCAAAAAAACTGCTTTTTTTGTCTTTGTGATACATTGATGTTCTGTTTATGCTTTTACAATTCTCCAATATCTGTCTGACAAAAAAATGTCAACATGAAACAAAAAGCTGAACATTGTATTTTCTTTTCTACTCTCACTGATATGGTTGATCTACAAAATCTAGAGTCTACATTTGTATAACTTCTTTTGATTAAGCAAGAAGTACTTTCTCTCAAAAACTTTGTAATATTTGTAGAGACTGTCAGAGAGTATGTCCATAGTCACTGAAGAGGCAAAAAAAGAATGCGGGCACTTTCCTTAGAAACTACTTAGTATTTGTTAGCTCAGTTGATTGTTATCCAAACAAATCCAATAGTCAGTAGCATTCCAGCACCTAGAGTGGTCTCTTAGATTCAATAATATGGTTATCAAAATATTACCATCCATAACTTATAAAGTGCTATCACAAGTTAATAACGTGATAAAAGTCTCAAGAGAAAAATAGGAAAGGAATATGAAAAGGCAATTAATAAGAAAACAATTTTAAAGGGCCAACTATATAAATAAATGTTCATATGTCTAATAAATGATGAAAGAGTTGCAAATTTAAACAATAAGATCTTATTTTCATGATCAAATTAGAAAACAATAAAATGCTAGTATTCCATTATTAAGGCAAGAGAAGGAAAGTGGACATTTCTGTATATTTTTGGATGGGGTTGAAGCTAGTTAAACATTTTGAAGATAGTTCAAAGGTCCTAAAATATGCATATTCTTAGGAAAATATTTATGCACAATCGTATATCTAACAATTCTACTTATAGAAATCTATCCTCAAGAAATAATGAATAAACATGGGAAATTATTTCAATGCAAGGATATGGACCACAAATGTTAGCTCTAGAATGTCTATATAAAAAGGACTTAGGTATGAGAAGCATTCTAATTGAAAAGAATAGAAAAGTTAACATACTAGTATAGAGGTTTACTGTGAAGAGATAAACTGTCTTTGCTAAGATTACGGGGCTTTGGAAAATTGGATTTGACTGAAGAAATGACTCTAGAAATATATAAGTACTAAAGGTTTAAAACACAAGGAGACAGGTAAAATCTTCTAGAGTCATGGTTTTCCTTGGTCAAAGCTACCCAACATATTTGGGGGTCTTGACATGGTTTAATAAAATGTTAGTGGCAAGAAACCGTGCTGCAGTCCTGAAGGCACACAGTTCAAATCCACCAGCCACTCCATGGAGAAGTATGGGAAATCTCCTCCCATGAGATTAATTGCCTTTCAAAATCTGCCAGAGAGAGGGTCCAACTCAATGGCACACATCAAGAATGATGTATTAAGGACAAAAAAGGTTATAAAGTATGCATAACTCAAACCTATTTTGAAAGAATTACTTGCATAGAAAAATGCTTGGAAGCCTACACAGCATAATGTTAACATCAATAGTGGCTTTCTCTGTGTTAAGAATTTTCTTTTTCCTTTCTTATCCTAGTTTTCATTTGCTTTCTTTTTTTATGCAGTGACCAAGTATTGCTTTCGCAAGCAGAAAAAAAACGAATACAAATTAGAAAACAAATAGTTACTCAAGGCCTACTGTTTTGAAAAAATAGTCTTCCTTCAAAGTGGGTCTATATTGTTTCTTTCACATGTACCAGAGAATCTTCTACAATGATAAAGTTAAAACTTCAAGTGTAGGAAAACAGAATATTTAATCTATTCTTCATTGCACTTCACACCTTGAAAATATGAAGACTACTGTCCATGGAAAATCAAAAAGGAAATGAAGACTTTCAATTTTCCAGGGTTGGGATTGTTACATTTCTACCAGTAAGGGCAAAGGGAAATAAAAACAGTATGTTTGGAAGTTCCACTTAGGGCAGATCATTTGCAGGAAAGGGATGGGTGTTTTAAATATGGGGACTGCATTCAAAACTAAACGCTTGATCTTTTTGATTCTTTCGTTGACTATGATCGTACCAATAACTTTGTTCAAATTAAACTTGCCACACTTGGGTCTGTGTGGATGGCTGGATACACTTCTCTCTCAAGAGGCAGAATTGAGATTAGTTAATAATGAGTTGAGAGGGTGTTTTTAAAAGGAAATGAGACACAACAATTTTCCATTAATGTTACTACAATTTTAGTAACACCACCAGGGTCTAATCCCAATCTTCTAGTGTTAGAGGTGAAATTACTGCTACCAATAAGCCCAACTGCTGTGGTATGTAAATCGCATACATATTAATTTAAGACTCTGGCAGAGCAACTCCGAAGTAAAAAGAGAGATAAGCAAATTATTCGGTTGAGCTGATGACTGCAAACTGGATAACTCAATAAAAGAATCTGTCAGAAACTTGACTTAATCAGATCATCTACAGCAACTAAATTAAGAGGATGATTTCGGTTGGATGGTATGTGCTCAGGTTTCCATAAAACAGGCAGTTTCATCTAAGGAGAAATGGAAATCCAGATCCAGGGAGCATCATGAAGTTGTGTTTGCAAATGTCAAGTATTTCTATAAAACCAATACTGTAAATTCAAGCATGCCAAATAATCACAGTAGTGTTTCCCTTCTTACCTCACAGGTCACAATGCATACATATTAATAGATCACAACATTTCAAATATTTCAGCCCAAGCCAGAAGCTAGCAACACAGAACACTCTGATATTCACTTCTGGTGGCCTTGTGCATGGAATCACTTTGGTGAAAGAGAATTTAAATGGGAAATGATTGAAATGCAAAAATGACAAGAGCTCAGAGTGCCATCTGAGTGCATTTCTCACAAGGTTTTCACTGGGATTTCTGCGGAATAACTACCTCAACTCTAAGCTTTGTATCTTTTCCAGTTTTATTTTCTTAGCAATAAGCCAATCCGGGCACCAGTTTCAAACAGATGGAGGTCACCACACTGGAAAGTTAAAGTCTCAAGAACTCCTTGCTTAAGTAATTAATTTCTTTCAGTCTTAAAAAAAAAAAAAAAAAGATCTGTTTAACGTAGAATGCTTCCTGCCTGACAACTATTTCCACCTCATCTCACAAAGGGATTTGTGGATTGACTATGCAGATGTCTTTTTCAATTATTTACCACATTTTTTAGCTTTCCATAAAAAAAAAAAAAAGCCCACCACACACAGATTTTTCTACCCTTTCTTCTATTTCATTTTAGGAATCAAGAGATTAAGCCAACTAACTCCTAAAAGAGAGTATGTTTGGGTGGGGGTGTCCAATGAGATTCAAGCGGCAAAAGGCAGATGTCTGGGCACACAGAACGCTGGTTTGAGTGTCGGTCTGGGCGAAGAGGACTCCTGCAGGATTCAGAGACAGGAGTCCACTGGGGGACACAAAACGGTCTAAGCACATCATTCAGATGTTGCACTATACCACACAGGCCCTTTTAGGGGTCTAAGGTCCTATGGTAATATTTGAAATAGACCCCACTTCTTGGCATGGACTAAACAGTTTTACATGCCCCAAAATGTTGCTCTAGGGACTTGGCCTCATCACTGGAGTACTGAGCTCAGAAATGCCGAGGGACAGCAAGCCAGGGGCAACAGAGGCCCCTGTGAGTGCAGTTCGCAGGCTCACAAACCTTGTAACCTTGAGCTCTTCGCTTTCCCCAAGGCTCAAGCCCACTTACCCTGGGGGGTGACTTGGGCATGGGCCCCCAGCCTCAGCTGCAGGACCAGGTACTGCAGGAGGAAGGCAGCGCTAAGCCTGACCATCATGCTGGCTCTTCTGATTCCCACGAGGTGTCCACGGGTGACAGCAGCGGTGGCTCTGCCTCAGTGTCCCTGGGCGCACACGCACTGGCCCTCTGTCCTGGCTCTCTGCTGGAGGCGCAGGTGAAGGCTCGAGGCCCAAGGCGCGGAGCGCAGTGCTGAGCGCAGGGGCCAGGCAGCTGTCGGGGGCACTTGAGTTCTGGCGGCTAGTGTGAAGCTGCGGGCGATCACCGCTGGGCTGCAGGGGCGGCCCCACTCTTTATGGTCTGGCCGGCCCCCTGGGCGGAGAGGACAGACGCTGGGGCGGCCCCCTTGGCGGGGATCCCCTTTCTCCGGGAAGAGCAGGGGTGACCAGAGCCAGGAGCATGGGCGGGGAAGAGAAAGGCGAGAAAGGATGGGCACAGGAGGGGATGAACGGACGTCCTGGGCAGGGGGCCAAGGATCAAAATACTTAGTAGAATGGGAAGAACAGATACAGACAATGGGGGCTGGTGAAGAAGCGAGGATTAGGCCAAGGTATGAAAGGACAGACATGAGATAAGGGAAAAAGGAGAGAAGGAAGACTGTTACCCTGTTCATTCATTACCTCAAGTCCTCCTCAGTCCTTCTGTGTACTTTGGTTTTCTGAAAAGAAGCCCAGCATATGGACAGGCTTTGAAGATGCGTCTTGACTTCCCTTCAGAACAAACCCTGAACCTTCCAGACTCTTTCTCCCTCCTGAGGTGGCCCAGAGAACAGGGGCTTCCTAGTTTTTCTTGAATATTTCAAATATTGAACACTTTTCTTAGTATATCTTGATACACAAACAGCAAAAGTTTTGGTGGAACTAAAACACATACCTACAACTCTCTTAAGACAGAGTGAGTCGTGGTAGATCCAACGATTTCTAGAGAATTTTGTCTGGTTTCCAAAGACCCAGCTTCTCTCTTCTATTCCTTCACACTCAGTGTTTTTGGGATACTTTATTTGGGGTAGGACCTGAAAGACATGAAGCAGTTTTCTTCTTAGATAAAGCCCCCTAAAATGATGTGTTTGAACTAGAAGAATAAATACTTGAAGAGCAATGCAACGTTTCTCTCTCCTAAACAACCTATATCAATGGATATGATCCAACAAATTGTTTCCATATCTATACTTCAGAGGATTTCATTTTAAAGTTTAAGTAGTTATCTATCTCAAGTTGGGAAATAAGCCTATCATCTCAACCCTTAAATTATGGTATGACATTTAATTTCTACCAGGATTCATAGAAGGGAGTTCTGGTGACTGAGTGGTAAGGAATTGCACTGCCAACCCAAAGGCACTTGATTTGAATCCACCAGCTTCTTCATCCACAAATATGGGCAATCTCCTCTCGTAGGATTTACTGCCTCTGAAAACCCACTGGAGGGTCAGGTATGGGTTGGTGCCAACTTGACAATACTCAACTACAACAAAACAACTATATATATATAAACAGATAGATCCATATTTGTGGTTGAGTTGACTCTGACTCCTGGTGAGAACTGATGCCTTTGAGTTGTGGTGTTAGTGAAGAATACTGAACATTCCACAAGCTGACCAGACAGCAAATATGTCTTAGACAAAGTGTAGGCAGGGTATTCTCAAAGCCAAGGATGATGACTTGTCAGGAGGGGCCAGTCCTTGGGAAAAAATATCTTGCAAGGAAGTTCACAGAAAGGAAAAAAAAAATCCTCAATGAGATAGATTGACATAGCGATTTTAACAGCAGACTTGAGTATGTTGGAGATTGTGAGGATGGTGTAGGATAAGGCAAGCTTCTAATCTGTTGTCCATAGGTTGTAATGATTTGTAGTTGACGTGATGGCACCTAACAACAGCAGCATGGTAATCCTACTACAACAGAAGCAAATGTTGCGAGCCTTGCATCATCTCGCAAGGACAAGCTTGTGGGAGTCCATGCAATCCATCTCACTGAGGGTCTCCCTCATTCCTACTGGCCCTTTGCTTGACAACATATGATGTCTTCCTCCAGGGACTGATTCTTCCTGATGAAGTACGAGAACCAAGCGGGACAGAATTCTGCTGTGACACCTAAGATTTTCACTGGATAATTTCTACACATAGAAGTAAATTACCTTATCTTTCTTCTTAGTGTCTAAAAAGTCTAGAAGCTTGTCTGAAACCTGCTTGCCACAGATGATCCTGCTGGCATTTGAAAAACAGTGGGAAAGCATGTCAGCATTATAGTAACATGCAAATCACCACAGAACAACAATTCTATAGTTAATGACCAGGCGACTTTTGGGCTCTCTTTTGGTTGAGATCTAAATGTGTCTAATCAAAGTTTTATTTCATATCACATGACATCAAAGTGCCTGTATAAAATAGGTTGCCTTATTTTGTTACTAATTTCAATGAACATTTACAGAGATTTTGGATTTCCATTCATTCATTGTTGCACTTTTCTCCCTGCCCCCCCCCTTCGCTCTTCTCTTTGAAAAGTAAAAGAAAAATTCCTTCATTGGTATACAATCCCCCC